TCCCTTGGCCCCTCCTCTCTCCTCCTCCTCCCCCCTCCCCTCCCTGGTAAAAATGGCTATGTTGTAACGTCCTGCTAAGTGGGCTAAGTGGGCTGGTGCTTCTGCTGACTGAAGTTTCTCAAGAATCCTATTCTCCTGCTTTGCACACTTAACAAATTAGATATCCGACGACCCTGACTTTTGTACCATTGGGCATTGACCTTTTCTTGTGGTCTTTTAAGCATTTTGAATGTTTCCTTAGACTTACTTACGCACCCTGAAGACATCTGAGGCTGTGGAGGCCCGTGTCTCAGCACCGTGAGGGTGCGGGTGCTCCGGGGCGCCTTCTGGTCCCCGGTGGGGGGGGGCAGCAGCTTCTTGGGCCTCCGGCTCGGCTCCTGCAGTGTTTCTGCTGGCTGATGGGTCCTGGGCACCCCCCACGTGGGGGTGCCATTGTGCTGCCTGTCCCTTACAGCTTTAAGGACATCCTCTGACTTTGTGCTATACTTACGTTACTTAAATTATTGTAGCATTTATCTTCAGTATGGGGGGCTTGAGCCCAGGGACTGCTAGGCTACATCCCTGGGCCTTTTATTTACTTTTTAAAGTTTGAGATGGCATCTCCCTGAGCTGCTCAGGCTGTCCTGAGACTTGTGGGCGTCCTATCTCAGCCTCTCCAGGCTAGGATTACAGGTGTGTGCCACCACAGCTGCACCGATCTTTATTAAAATATACAGATAATTATATGCTGCAGGCTTGCTAGAATATGTGGAGACCTATATTCTGTTACGTTGATAAAGAATAGCCACATCATTATGCTTAATGGTATCGTAATAGCCTCAGAGTTGCCACACCCCAGGACACTTGCCACTGAGAGGGACAGGTGCTGCTGGTCTGATGCCCAAGCATTCCGCATGCTGCTTGTGAGGACCGGCTGTGCGTGTGCGTCTCGTGCGGGGCAGTACCTCCAGTCTTTCTGTTCTTTGCTCTAGGAAGAGCGTGTTGTGAATCACATGGCGGCGAAGATTATTGAAAACGTGTGCACCACCGTCTCCATGCAGGCGCAGGGCTTCATCTCCGGGGAGATTGGGGCTGCTCTGTGGTTCCTGTTCAGACACTCCACTGTGGACGCCCTCAGGATCACGGCAGTCTCGGTATGGCCGGGCGGGTGTTTGGGGACACTGTTGTGCATGCCCAAGAGAGAGTGCATTTCACTGTATGTAGAGTTGGAGTCAGAGTTCTTGGAATAAGCAGCGAGAGCGGTGAGTCCGGCTCTCCTAACAGGGGCTGGAAAGTGCTGGGGCAGTCAGGGAGCTCCAGTCGTGCCATGTAGGACGCCGTGACATCATGGTTCAGAGTGACTTGGAGATGCCCATGGAGGACGCTGGTGGCAGAGGGACCTTCACAGCGCTGCCTGCCTTTTCCAGCTGGGGCCTGCACTCCAGTGCACCCCTGCACCGTTCAGGCCCCAGACGTCCAGCCCTGTGGCTGCCTCGCCCGCTGCTGCTGGTCTCTCGGGGTCTGCTCCGACCCAAGGAGCCTGGTGTTCTTTACTGTCCTCGTCACCAGCCACTGCTGTCCCCATTGTCTTGATTCTCTCTCTCCATGAGATCCCTGTAGCCCAGATTCACAGAGCTTTTCTTCTGTGCATCTGTCTTTCGTAAAGGCAAGCACAAACACAGCGGAAGCTGCAGGTGGCGCACCTGCCCTTCCTCCCGCTCTTTAGAGTTACTGCGGGTGCGCCGTCCTTTCTTGCCAGTCTCCTGTGTGGCGGGGATGTGGGGGTATTTTCAGTTCTCGCAGTACCAAGGAGGAAAACCCTGCTCCCTGAATGCCTACCCACCACACGCCCCCACTCAGCAGCCGCATGCTGCTAGAATTGCAGAAGTCTGCGCCCGACCACGGCACTGCTAGTCCGGGGGCAGCTGCCAGAAAGCGTGCCCAGCGGTGGGCAGGGGCGCCCATGCGTGCAGGCTGGGGGGGTGCGTGCAGGGTGGGTGGGGCGCGAGCGAGGACCCCAGGGCGCGTCGTTTTGGGTGGAGCAGATGCAGTAGGGTCTCAGGTCTTCTCGGCCTGTGAGACCTGCTCCTCCTCCAGGACTTCCTGGTTAGCTGCAGGGGTCTCATGGGGGACACAGACCCTTCTGAAGAGCGCACCAACAGAGCTACCCAGAGGCCCCAAGGTTAGAGCCCTTCCGCTGTGCACCCCAGCCCTGACTGGACCCATGGTGAGGGTGGCTGCAGGTGGTGGGAGCTGGCTCCTGTGCGACTGCCTCCTCCCTCCACCCTTCCCTTTGGAGCCTCAGTCCCCAAAGGGGATGTGCCTCATCCCCTGCTGCACGCAGGCCTCAGGAGCTGGTCCTCTGGAGGTGGGAAAGGCAGTCAACGAGGCCGGCGGCGCTGGCACGTCTTTTACAGCCTAGAGCCACAAGAGACTGCCCTCCTGTCTAGGCTTTCTGTGTCCCTGGAGAGGATGGGGTCTCTCAGACGTGCCCAACACACCTGCCCTGCCCTCAGCAAGAACTGGGAGGTTGGGACCGGGGAGATGGCTCAGTAGGATAAGCGCTTGACTGGCAAACGCAAGGATCTGAGTTCAATCCCCAGTTCCGCCAAAAAAAAAAAAAAAAAAAAAAAAAAAAAACAAAAAAAAAAAAAAAACTGGGAGGTGCCTAGAGGGGCCTTGGAGTGGAAGACAGTGAGATTCCATGACTACAGTGCCAGGAAGAGGAAGCCAGGGTGGGCTCCAGCCCCCTCCCCCTTCCTGCCTGGCTGACCTCCTAAGGCCGTCTGTCCCCACTTTATTTCCCCTTCAGATAAGGAAGCAGGGGACCTCTAGAGTAGGGATCCCATCCGGATGGAAAGGTTTGTGAAGCTTTCTGAGCACCCTGACAGGCTTGTTAAGAGCTTACCGAGGTGGCTCGCGCCACAGCTGCCCTGTGAGGGTGTCCCAGGGCCTCCACTCTGCCCCTTGCCCCTGCTGGATATATGTGAAGGGCACACAGCACCTTGCACTGCTGCCTGGGAACGTGGTGTGCGGGTAGACTGAGACTCCCTGCTGGGATCCTAGGGACAAAGGATTTGAGATGTGGTCACTTTGTTGTGTGTATCTTGGAGGCCTTTGAAGACCCAGGGTTAAGCATGTCAATTACCCAAAGCTCCCAAGGATACGGGGTGACAGAGAAAGGCCTACTGACTTCTTGAAAAGACTCAGAGAGGCTCCAAAAAATACCAGTGTCTCAGCTGTGTCTTGGTGAGTCAGGTAATCCTAAAGGGTAAGTTTCTTATCCAGGCACTCCCCCGACACAAAAAACACAAGCTAGAAAATCTGAACCTTGCACCAGAGGCCCCATGTAGTGGCTGATCTAAAACATGCTGCCGAAAGCTTTCCCTGGGATGAGGAGGCCAGGGTACAATGACCCAACGGCCTGAGGGGCATGGGGCCTAGATCTAAGGTGCCCGCCACCCCATCGGCACTGGTGGAGGGCAGATTGCTAGCACTCACAGCCTCCTGGCTGGCCTCTCGGCTCTGCCGTTAGGCTGGCTTTGTGTTCCCCTCAAGGCGCGCGGCCACGGAGGCCTAGGAAGCAGTTCTTCCATATTAGTCCCAAGATGTGGCTGGGAAAATTTTTATCTGCTCTTTTGATGTCTGAGAGCTTGACGTTGGGAAGAGACTAAAAACAACTGTTTTAGCTGCTTTGGGTCCAAGTCTTGTCCTCCTGCTCCACAAGCTGCAGTAACTGCAAGTTCAGACCGAATGGGAGGGGGAATTAATGCCTCTTCAGCAAAACTCTGGAGATGCTGCCTCGTCTCCACCTCAGAGACAGTACCCATTAAGGCCAGAGGCCCAGAGCAGCCATGTCAGGCAGGGAACACCCCAAAGCACAGGGCCAGCTGGATGTGGTGCCGCACATTTATAGTCCCAGCACTCGGAAGGCTGAGGCAGGAGGATCCTAGCGAGTTTGAGACCAGCCTGGGCTACAAAGTGAGCTCAAGGCCAGCCAGAACTACATAGCAAGACCCTATCTCAGAAAGACAAATAAAACACAGCGCTGTTACCACCTTGGAATTGTCCTTGCAACAGTGTTATCTTGGGGCATCAGTGCGTAGCCTCAAGCTGCCACCCCTTATTGCCCACAGTACCCAACCCTGACACTGTACAGTGGGTCCTCAGGTTACAACTGGCCTGACATACGTACACCTTTGGTTATGTCCGGAATTTTAGTTTTAACCTGTGACCAAAGTCTTGAGTTGTGACCCTAGTGCCAGCCACTTGGGCTTTCGGGTGGACTCAGATACAGGTTTAACCTTAAAGAGTCCGGGAGGAACATTACGACATCCTGCCTGTGTGCAGAGAGAGACTCTGAAGGCTGCACGGCGGCACCGAGCCTTCAGCTGACAGCCTGAGTCACTGCCGGCCCTGGGGCACGTTGAGCTCCTGAGTCGGGGTCCCCTGCACTGTGACACCCACCCAAGCACTGCGGATGGCTCTTAGTCCTCCACTCACAGGGTGCTTTCTTCTGCACTGTGTGCACCCACACTGCTGGCAGGGACCAGCACCCGTGGGCTAAGTTCGTGGCCATGACCGGGTGCTGGAACTTAGCAAAGGAAGCAGGCCTGTGTGCACTGAGCCTGCACGTGCTTCCCTTGTCCTCCAAGCCTGTGTGACTGTAATAAGGAAAAGCTTCCCTGCAGCCTCCAGGTGGCCCATCTGCCACCATCAGGAGATTGGTCCCCTCCTCAGGGCTGTATGCCTTCTTGAGGGGGGCAGCAACTGCAGGGATCATCACAACAGAGAGCATGGGGCTGGCACCCCACAACCCAGGCCTCCGCGTCCCTCCGCTGAGGAGCCCTTCGACCCTCGGTGGATTCCAAGCCAGAGCTGGAGATGACGTGCTAGTCGCCTGTTTCCGGGAAGGGCTCAGACCAGCAGTTGCACAGATAGTTGGGGAACGTGCAGTCTGCCCAAGCAGCAGCCCCTTGGTCTGTGGACAGGCCCTTTTTGGCCTCTACAGAGCAGGAGCCTAGGCAGGAGAAGCGCAGGCAGACTGCTCACCGCAGCCCAGTTCTCCAGTTCCACCTGGTACGGGGAGCTTTCCAGGGTCCGCTGGAGTCCTTGTCTTGCAGAACCCAAGTGGCAACTGAGGTAGCCTGAGCCTAGGTTCCTAAAGCTGTCCTTGGTTGTGGTTGCCTTGGGGAACTGGAGTGACAGTGGCGCAGCATTAAAGACCGTGGTGGCAGAAGAGGGAATCTCTATAGCCCTAGACATACAGTGTCATTCACAGACCAGCTGGAGGCCCAGTCCCCCCAGAGAGGACAAATGAAATTCTAAGAGATCGCCTGGGTAAGCTGACTAAGGAGCCAAAACTTCCCTGGACCACCCTCTTACCCATTGTCCTGAAAATTACAAGAATACTCCTCAGAAGTCAGGACCAAGCCACTTCCTTGCTGAGGACCTCTTGCTGAGATCTGAGGGGCCCCCTGGGTTAATGCGTCATTTCCTTGGCACAGGCCCAACGGAGAGGAGGGAACTCCTCTGGAACCAGACATGTGGTCCCAGTGAAGATGCGTACAGCTGCCTCTTCCTTTTGAGCCAGCCGGGAACAGGCTGTCCCTTCTCTGTCCTGTTCTCCAGGCCTGGGCCGCAAGGGAGCAGCCACAACTCATAGGTGGACACACCTGCCTGAAGCCCTGGACAGGAGGGGCAATTCCATGGCCTGTGCTTGTGACCCCTGAAAGGCCTCGAGCTGTGCTTCAAAGGGACCCCAGAAGTGATCCACGAGTCTGTCCTGTTTTGAATAAATCTCTTCATGGGTCCTCTGGTTTTGAGCTTGTGGAACCTAGGACCTGCAGTGAGCATTCAAGGGCAGTACTTGCCTGTTCCTGCTCCGAGGCTCCTGTGTACACCTTGCTGTTCGTCTGCCAAACAGGTGAACACACATATGGCTTTTTGTTTTCCCCAGGCACAGCTGCTGTGCATCACACCCACGTTCCATTTATGGTAAGATACTTGTTTAAAAAACAGAAGAGTGGTGTGGGTGTATTTTACCCCCTGTGATGCTCAGATAAACATACACACAACCTGTTAGATGGAGCATTATGTCAGTAAAACTCCCAGTGTGACACTTTTGCACACATGCACACACCTGGCCGTTCTGTATCCAAGTGAATAAACATGAAGACTGCTTCCTGTATTCCCAGGCACAGCTACTGAAAGGCATGGCCAGCTACTATTATGCTAAAGTACAGATTCACAGTAGAAAATTAGGGGATGGGTTGCTGTAGCCCATGTTATGTCGTGCAGACAAAGCCAGTCAGACCTTCCACCATGCTTGTCACCAGATCCCTACGTACACGGCTCAGTGTCCTGGCTTCTGTGGACAGATGTGTGGACGTCCCCTCCCAAATGCCTGCACACACTTCCAGACCTGAGGAGTCTGGGTCTTCCTTCTCCCTCCCCCCTCGCTCTCTGCGGGCAGATGGAGCACATGGACAGGAATCTTCCTGAGACCTACGGGATCACTGTGATCACATGCAGAAGGATGAATGGGTGGATCCCTGCACAAACTCATGGACAACTGCCAGGTTTTGGATGCCCAACGTTGGGCAAGTGGGTCCTGTCATAGGCTGGATCTGGGGGTCCTCAAGGCAGAAATAAGGAACTTAGCCCCCTTTAAAATAAGTACACAGGCTCACTGACTCCTGTCATGGAAAAAGAATTTCCAGGATGCATCAGGGAAAGAGGAATGAGGAGGAGACAGGATGTGTCCACACCAGCAGCGCTCTGGGAAACAAGGCGCCATGCAGGTGGGACGGGGCCTCGCTGAGGGCTCGATGTCCACCGGGTTGGAGTGCAGCCACCTGCAGGGCCTGGAGGTGGTGTTGGGAAATGTCTGCACTGCTGCTGCTTTCTGGCTGGGAGGAAGGTGAAGGTGAGAGGGGACAGGCAGACCGTGTGCGGCTGAGAGCGAGCTGCCCAGGTTGGCTGTTGGGAAGAAGGAAGTAAACACACCGGGCTTGTGTTCTGAAGCTGCAGGTTTTCTTCAAAAGTGCATTTTAAGAATTTTGATTTCCTGGTCTTGCCGCTTGGTTTTCTTTTCCGTCAGTGCCCAAGTGAAAGGTTGAAAAGGTGACCTGTGCCCAGTGTATGAACAGAAGGGGCAAACTGCTTCCTACCCTGCTGGGGGAGTGTTGGCACAGGCCACACAGCAGCTGGCCGCAACCCTCCCGGGAGCGGCTGGTCCCAGTACTGGGGTGTGGGCCAGCTCAGCACAATGGCCCTGAAGGGACTTGAGCCTGGTGCGGCTTCCCAGCCTGTGCCTCCCTGTCCCTGTCATCTGTCCTTGCTGGAGCCCTGGTATACGTAGGAAGTACGGGTAGCTGCTTTGTGGCTCCCCACTGGATGGGTGCGCTGACTCGGGACACGTGGCTCTGCATCTCAGCCCACCTCACCCCCTAACTGACTGGGCGTGATGGAGACCCGGACGGGGTCAGTGGTTGCTAAACAGCCAGCCCTGTGTCCCCGTGTCTGTGATTTGCAAAGGAAGCAGGCCTGTGTGCACTGAGTCTGCGTGTGCTTCCCTTGTTTGTGACAGCTGACAGAGCTTACCCAGCCACAGTGGCTCTACAAAACCAGGGAGGCCAGACCTTCTAACCCTGGAAGGGCAGCCTGTCTGCGTGTGCTCCTAAAACCGATGCAGCTTTTGTGCCTCCAGCATAAACTCGTGAGAGGTGCAGTGCAGACTCAGAGCTGCTCTTGCCTTGCGGTCTGCCACGGTTGATCCTTGGGTTAGAGCCCGCTGTCTCTTCCCAGCTCCAGAGCAGCCTCTTCCAGGTAGCACTGCAAAACAAGGCAGACGCGGGACCTTCCAGGAACCTCTGGGCCACTGCCTGCTGAGAAAGGCAGAGTTGGACTCTTGCTCCCTGCCGTCCCTGCCCAGCAGGAAGGGGCTGCAGTAAACTTGGAACCCTAAAAATCAGGAGCTGCTTCTCCTTGCGGGGGCTCGTAGGCGGGAAGCAAGTCCCGGGTGCTGGTGGTTGGTGTCTGCTGCTCTGTGCCGAGGGCACTCCAGGATGGCTGGACAGTGCTGGCCCTCTGCTAAGGAGAAGTGGGCTGGGGTGTAAGAGGGCCTCAACCATTGAAAAGGGGACCATAAGTAGAAAGATGGCCGCAAGCTAATCACACGCACGCTGGGGACCTTCCCTCCAGGGGGCTGGTGGGACGCACACGCCGACTGCCTGGGTGTCCTGGCTTGTAGACCTGTCCTTGTTGTGTGCTTCAGGCCTCACCCCCATGTGCTACATCTCACACGTGCAGTTAATTACTAACTGTAAAAAGTGCACGGTTTAAAATTAAAAATAGGATACTTTTTAGAGATAAATCATAGATATGCAAAAATAGGGCAAATACTCCCAAAGCAAAAAGTCTTTAAAGCTCCCCAAAAACCCACGGAGCAGGGTGTCCTGGGAGCCCTGTGACCCTGCCAGAAGTCGCTTTAGCATTTGCGCAGGGCGAGGGAGCCGTGTTTAGCAACCAGTAGAAGCATTTACAGTCTCCTTGTTATGGAGATTTGGTTTTATACTGATCAGCACTTACTTTCCTTATGTTATCAACAGGAATAAGTTTGCAAGACACTGTACTCTTAGAGATAGAAGTTTTCAGGAACATAGAAGTACTTTTCAAAGTTTTAAGAACTTTTCTTCCCTTCTTACTCTTTCCTCTCAACACATGTCTAGTGGATCCTCTTGTATTTGGTCTTTTCCTTATTAGTCAAGGGTACAGACCTGTTTAAGATATGGATCAAGGGGGAGGCACTTAGGTGACATCAGTTATGAGCAAAGCCTCTGAGTGTGGGGGTGGCCGGCGTGCGCTCCCTCTGTGTGCCGGCCGGGCTGCTTGTGCGCTCTGCTCCGGGGGTGTGCAGCTCCCACGCGGCAGGCCTTGGTCTTCCCAGGAAAATGGGGCTGGCGAGCCTGTTTCTCTTGCGTGCTGGCAAGAGCATGAAATGAGCCCTCAGTTACTGGGTGCCCCTCACACAGCAAGCAGTGTTCAGTGTTGATTTTCTGAACATGTTTTCTGTACTTAGCTCAGTGTCTGCATAAAGGTGTTTGATAATGTTTTTAGTTACTTCATTTTCTATGTAGACTTGTGAATTAGTTATCAATTTAATGTTTATATTTATCTCTTAAGTTTCATGACCACCTCCTGTGCCAGAGGAAGAGCTGAAGGGTTGGTCCCCAGAGCAGCGGGCCCCCAGGGACAGCCGGTCCCTGCAGGCTGTCTGACACATCTGTGCTCCTTGTCCCTGTCCCGCAGGCCCTCTGTCGAGTCTCCCGCCAGTGTCCTGCTGCCTTCCAGAGTGTGATTGAGAAGGTGGGACTTCCGGCTGCGACCCATGCCCTGGCTGCCTCTGTCTGCAGGGTGCAGCAGTACCTTCTGACCCTGTTTGCCACACTGCTGTCCTGCGGGATTCACCTCCAGAGACTGGCCCAGGAGAAGGTGGGTTCCTCTCCCTGTGCTGGAGCTGTCGCTGGTCTCCCTGCCATCCCAGGGAGCCTGCGTGAGCTTCAGAAAGCCCTGAACCCCAGGTCACCCTGCTGAAGATCTTGCCAATCTACGCGGTGAATGCAGAAGCCCAGTGGCATGGGCTCTGCCTGCCCGTCCCATGTTAGTAGCGGAAGCGAACGGGTTAGGGCCTGCCTATCTCTTTCTCAACCTGTCTCGGCTTCCTCTGCTGTTTCATCCCTTTCCTTTCTCATACTTTGCCAAGCCAGAGCCCCATTAGAGGCACTTTCTGATGGGTGGCCTGGCTTGTGGCTGTTACGTTGCAGCCCTGGGTGGAGGAGGGCACCTGGCAGGGGCAGCATCGGCAGTGCCACCCGGGCCCACATTGGGCTGCTGCACCTGTGAGGTCTCTGTGTAAGTGTTAGGCAAAGTGTCAGCAGGTGCAGAAAGCAGACTTGGCTGCACCCACGTTTGGAAAGCAGTTACTCAGATGAATTTTCAGAGGTGCGGCTCTTCCCAGCCGTTGATACACAATAAGAAGGGTGCAGCGAGGCACTCGTGAAATCAGCCCGCAAGCCTCTCCCAGCCGGGGGCGCACACTCGCTCCTTGCATCGTGTTGTTTTGGGTGGGGCTGGGGCTGAACCCAGGACCTTGCAGATCCCGGGTGTGCACTCAGCCACTGAGCTCTGTCTGGGCACTCTGCCCAGAGATTCACGGAACATAGTGAGAAAGGATAGCTCTAACTCTGCTTGGAGGGCAGAATGGGACCAGGTACATACAGCACTTTCGGAGATTCTTCTGCATTAAAGGCAGTATGTTGAGTTTTGCTTTCTATGAAGAGGGAAGATTTCATAATTTGCTGGAAGCTCACATTTACACAACTGGCTTAGCCCGCGGCTCCCAAGAGGGAGCAGACCACTTCCTGCTCGCGCTGTGTTCTGACTTAGAGTCTACTGAGACGCTTGTGCCCGAGAGAAAGTGTTTCTTCAGTGATCTGTGTGTCTAGCTTTTGCTATTAAATTTTCCAATTTATTCTCGCATTAGAAAAATAGCACTTGAGTAGTTTTACTGCATAAATTGTGGTAAGAGAATTTTATCAGTGTTGGTTTTTAAACCCTCAGCATAATTGTGGATTAAACCTCAAATATTTCCAAAGTCAATAAAATAAGATGCGTTCCTATGAATTTAGTTGTTGTATAGTGTGTAACTACTATTTCATGTATCTTAAAGAAAGGAATGAATAAATCATTAGGTGTAGGGGATGCTAGGTAAGCTTTTGCTTTTGATTGATACTGGTATTTTTTAAAAGTCTTTTTTAAAAAAATTGTGATAGAAAACACATGAAGTTGGCCACTTTATGTACTTATAAGTACTGGTTCAGGGATGCTCAGTTCTGGGAAGACCCCTCTAGCACCTCATGAGCCTATAGGCCCAAAGCTTGGACTGTTTCCGGTGGGCCTGAGCCGGCCCTAGGCTTTGTTCTCTCTGGACCAGCAGTGGGAGAGGGCAAGGCCTGTGGAGGTCCAGCACCCTGGCAGGGTGCTCAGACCTGCGCCAGTGGGAGGCCTCTCAGGCTGCTGGGAGGGGGAGGTCAGGCTTGTCAGAGCCTCCCAGAGGGCATCCTGCTTCTCTGTCCACCTTCGAGGGCCTGGATGCTGGGCTTTGTGATGGGGCAGAGGGCAGAGGGAGGAGAGGCTTGTGCTTGCTGTATGTAGGGTGGTCGGCACAGCCCGGCCTGACCTGCCCTGGCACTGCCTCTCAGTGAGAAGACCTATGGCTGCTGGGCAGAGGAGGTCCCAGTGCTGACCATGGTCCAGCCAGGTTGGGGTCCTGGTGCCCTACTTTTGCTGATAGAGCTGGGCGTGCATGCAGCAAGGTGGTCTTCTTGTGGTGTTTGGCTGGAGTGGCACATTAGCTGTTGTCCAAAGGTTTTCTGCCTTACTGTGCTGCTCCTTCCTTGGGGCTGGTTTCCCATGTGTGCACACGTGTGTATGTGTGTGTGCATGCATATGTGCATGTGTGCGTGTGTGCCCTTTTCAATGTTTCCAGGGTCCTGCAGTCTGTACAACCCAGTTTTCCACAAGGGCAAGTGGCCTCACCAGCCAGTGCTGCCCACGTGCTCAGGCCTGTGGCCCGCTGTCCCATGTTCTCTCCCTTACAGGCTGCCGTGTGGGTCTTTCACCCGTGTCCAGGACTTGAGCCCCATGCTTGGTAGAGTATGAACTATGTCTTTTCTCTCCTGACTTGCAGCTTTGAAAATATGTCAGTGACAGTCTAGTGATAAACAGCAAACTTTCATTTAAAGTGCAGAGTTCTACTCTTTATTAATTAGAAACTTGCCATTTATTGCACATTTACCATGGGCCAGATGCCAGGGCCTGTGACTGTCCCTGACTGCTGGGTTCAGTGTGGGGACTCACTGCAGTGATTGGCAGGGGTAAGTGCTGGTTGGAAACTCTGATGGGGAATGAGTTATTCTGGGTAGGTAGGTCGGGGGTGACTGCTAGGTGTGCACCTGGTGGGTGAACACTACACCTCAAGGGGGTTGAGGAGTTGGGGAGCCCATTGGAAGGCACATTGGGCCTTCAGTGGTGGAAGGAGCTTGTACCCCGTGGACCTGGCAGGTGCTCTGGGGTTCTGCCTCCCTGAGGTGTGTGGAGGATCCAGAAAGCCTGCAGAGCTGGGCGTGCGATGCGCAGGAGGGAAGGGCATGGGGAGATCCAAGAAGGCCTGGGTCACTTGAGCTGTGCTGTCGCACATGGCCTGTTGCTTTGTTTTCACCTGAGGAAGAGAAGTGTGGGTGACAGGGAGAAGTGTTGGCCTATACTGCGTGTTTGGGGAACTTGGTTCCTGCTAAGGCACAGATTCCTTCCAGTGCTTGGAGCCAGAGGAGGGGACCTGGGCGCAGACACAGCTGTGCCCCCTGCTGCTCATGATGGATAGGTGTGCAGAAGCACAGTGCTGTAGGCCTGGTACCGTCCCCTTCCCAGCATCTGCTGGGGCCGTGGCACCTATTGGGTGCACCCTGGATGAGAAGGGCATCGCACCTCTTCACGGTTTCCTGCTGCGGTGCCTGGACAGGAGGCTTCCAGGAAGAAAACCTATACTCTTAAGAGTGAGTTTTACTCACTGCGATTTGCCCTGTAAGTGCTTCCCTCCCACTAGTTTACTTTTGCCCCTACTTGTATTTTTCTAGTTCTTTTAGGCTGTTTCCATGCACACCCAGTCAGGAGGACTTGGGGCTGAGGGCTTTGGGAGCTCACATTTCTTACTGTGTTTTTGGGGAGATACCGTTTGAGGCCGTTGCAAGTTTTGCTGACTATCATACAGTAGTTCTTCGGTTCACGAACTTAATTCTCTCCATGATTCTGGTTGCAACTGTGTGGCAAGTGTATCAGAACCATGGAATGAGTTCTGTGACCAGAATCGTGGGAAGAATTAAGTCTGTGAACCAAGCTCCACTGTGTCTAAAAGGTAACATAGCCTTTTAGACTGTATATATATTTATTTATTTTGTATTTTAGGGAACGGTTTCCAGGGTGTTCAGGGTCTCACTACTAGATCAGACTCATAGTGATCCGCCTGTTTGCAGCCTCCTAAGAGCTGGATTACAGGCATGTGCCACCACGCCCAGTCTCAATTGCTGTCTCAGGGTGCCCCAGGGGCAGGGCTGGCACAGCAGGCCCAGGGATCAAACCCCTATTTTAATGTATCTTACTAGGTTAAATTTATAACTTTTCAAAAATTTAAAGTAGACGTATTTAGCATGGACAGTTTAGCATATTTAGAATATGCCGTGCGGGGGGCTGAGGTAAAGTACTCGCCTCAAATGCTTACGCTCTCTGTCAGGTTTGTGTTTGCAGTATCCAGGCACTCTCACACCCTTTTCCTGCTGCCACACAGAAATTGGATGCATGCTGTTTGCTAGCCCGCGTTTCTCTCCTTCAGTGACGTGTCAGGGATGTGTCACTGTCACTCCTCGGTGTCATTTTAGCAGTTAGCAATCCCATGAGCCCATCAGGGGACAGTCCACAGCTCATTCCAGTAGCGCCTGAGTGCTCGCTTGGGAAGCTCCATCAGGCCCAGGGGAGTCATTCTTATGGCCAAGTCCTTGTTGTGGATAGTCTTAGTTATGTTTTCAGGGTGAACTTCCAAGTGAAATTGCTAGGTTAGTCTCATTGTTCAAAAAGTCCTTTTTCTATGTAGTTTATATTTAACACTGATTTTATATATATCGACAAATAGCTACAGTGCCAGTAAAAAGTACTAAAACATCGTACTCTGAATATATATCTTTCACATATATAAAAAATATTTGGTTTACAGCTTTCTTAAATCTGTGGTTACAGTTCATTCAGTTTACTTTTCCATCTTTAAAATTTTCAGTCAAGATATGTAGAGGTTTCATGGTGAATTATGATTTTCTTTTCATATTTTCCTTTTTTAAATTTGATGAAGCACAGTAAGTTATTTTTAGGCTGTTCAAAGGTGAGGCTCTGCTCTAGGTTTTGGTCCAGAAATGATCCCGGTTGATCCCTCTTTGTCTTCTGACGTCGGGAGGACAGGAGTGAAAGGTGACTGTTGTTAGGACTAGGAGATCTGAGGAGGAGCAGAGCGGAATCTAAAGGAGATTTCTGTTTCTGACATAGAGTTGAGTGGATGTCTTGCAAAGCTCACTGTCAGACCTTAGATGTGCTCAAGAATTCCTACAAAGACGTTCAGTACCTTAACCTGCAAAAACAAAGATAGAAAAAATGAGAAGCTAATGAAGAAGAGGAGGTGGCCGTGGGAGGGCTGCGTGAGACCAGCAGCCTGCTTACTGAGGAGGGCGTGCTGCCTGGGAAGTTTCCGACCTAGAGGGAATTGAGCGGATAATACCGTTGCCCGCACACAGTGCCCGGTGTCAGTGGTCTCAGGTAGGCGGCAGCTCTATTCCATTTGCACGCTCTTCGTTTGTATTTCACGGACACACGCCCCTTTCTCCTGCAGCGCT